TTGATTTCCGTATTACACTAGTATTAATCAAACAGGAGTAGTGTGTTAATAACTTCAACAACCATCGACCAGTTTTACAATGTTCGTTCTATGACTAGTAATAAAAGGAAAATCTTTAAAATTAAACTACTTACACAGGCGAGGGAAAGAAGTGTACAGGCAATAAGAGCTCTCATGATGTCTTGGCGTATGACTTGAAAGTGATGAATCTATAGACAAAAATTGCTTTATAAACCCTGACCATGATACGAGAGTACTAGTGGACCACCACATGCTGTTCATCCCGAAAGTTTTGTAAACATTGGGAAATAAAGAATTACCAAATCCCTATCAGTGATCAATTTGTCCTACATAGATGGTCCAGTTTATTGAAGGAAGATCGATGGCTTCAAATGCTGAGCAATATTTTCGTCTTTTTATTTCGGCAGTAAACCAGCCCTAGTGTTCGGATGTCGATTGAAATAAACACCCACTATCGTCATATTGTCCCAATGTTTTACATCAAATGTGCAACAAATCCGAAAAAAACTTTAGCGTCTATCGCTAAAGTACTATTTGTCAGAGTGTGTAGATTTGTTAGGGTAGAAGGGTGTTGGGACGAGAGAGAGAGAGAGAGAGAGAGAAAGAGAGAGAGAGAGGGGGGGGGAACGTCCACTCGACACAAACTAGGTCATTTTGAGATTAATATATGATTTAATTTTTTTCAATAATTCGCTTGCGAGAGGTTAGAAAGGCGACCCTACTAGTCACGTACAACCATGGAATCGAAACCACGCCAGTTGACTCGCTAACTACAGATAATATTTAAGCTGAATCTATATCTTCGTCTTTCCATTTCTTCGGCCGAAACTGATCGTTCGTGTACTAGCAATGGTTCGGATATCATATCAATTTAAACAAGCGGGTGCCATGGAATAAACACTGACAATCAACTAATTGCCCCAATGTTTCAAATCGTATATACAAAAAAATCCGTTAAAAACCGTTAGTTCTATCGACTTCACAAGGTCTTTGGAAAGAGGGTAACTCTGGAAAGAGAGGTCACGAACCGCTGAATTGTAATAGGTTTCGTGTTCGCATGACACCAATGCTTCACACCATATTTTAGATAAATCTGATAAGGGTCGTCTCTGACGGACAGAGATCAACAGAGAATGGTGAGAATCGATAGGTTGCATACCTTCATGTTCCAAATTCATCTCACGACAAACAAGCTGTGGTCATAATCCAAGAAGTTGCGGTCTGATACGCATCCAAGATCGTATCACACTTAACATATATTTTAAGTTTCATCTGAAGCATTGGGACCCCAGGAGGAGGGAGGTAGGGGGGCGGGGGCTCCAAAATATTCGTGTCTGTCATATTTTGAATAAAGGCTAGGTTGGTGTAATGGGAATATAATTCGGGCTTTTATTCATTCGTTCTTGTAATATTTAATTCATTCGTCCATTTCATGTCCAAGGTGTTGTTTTAATGACTTATTTAAATTCCTATAGATTTCTGAAGTCATTAATCTTGTAACTTGGTACCATAGGCGTACGAGCCAGGGGGGCAGGTGGGGGGGGGCAGCTGCCCCCCTAACTTTCGGGCAAGCTGACTTTTCGGACAGGCGGGTAAAGTGAAAAAAAATGTTTCATCTACTTGGCAAAATAAAGTGCCCGAAATCAAATAAAACACTAATTTTACGGGTTGGAATAGCAGTGCAACGCATTTGCTGCCGTCAAATATTCCCAAATTTTCTTGTGTAGGGGTCCATACAAGGTCAGCTCCGCTTCTTCGCCTCTCGAGGAAAACCGGCGCCGCTGTCTGTAAACCTGAAATTTTTTCGGGCATTTCTAGTTTTGCTCCCCCAACTGTCATTGAGCCCTAATAAAACACTAATTTTACTTTTCTTTTAATTGAATGCCACGAATTTGTACTGAGTTGACTATGGATTAAAAAATTTTGTCTCATGGAGCCACTCTATTTTGTGCGACTTTTTTCTGACATCGAATATTATATATTTGTGGATGCAGCTGCAACAGTCTGATTGGATGGTTGGAATTCAGAATGGGATTTTGGTTACAAAACCATTGGATACTTTTGGAGTTGCTTACACGGGCTAGACAAGCAGAAAACGCATTTGCGGTGGTTAAATTTTCAAAATTTTCTCCGGGAACGTGAGACCCCCTTACCCCGCGATGATTGATTGGTTGTTTAGGATTCAGGTCAGCGCGGAGGGCTATATTGGACCAAATTGAAGTTGCTGTATTCACAGGCTGAAACAGCAGGAAAACGCGTTTGCGGCAGTTAAAATTTCTCCCAAAAGTCCCGTCTCCATGGAATGTAAACGATTGATTGGAATTCGAGTCAGCCATATTAATTTGGCTATATTAGACCACTTTGAAATATCTTTGTTCACGGCTGAAATAGCAGGAAAACGTGTTTGCAGCCGTCAAATATTCAAAAATTTTCTTTGGGGGGTCCATACAAGGTAAGCTCCGCTTCTTCGCCATTCGAGGAAGACCTGCGCCGCTGGTAAACCCGAAATCTTTTCGGGCATTTCGGGTTCTGCCCCCCTAACAGTCATCGAGCCCATACGCCTATGTTGGTAACCGATGGTAAACAGCCAACTCATTAATACTTTAGACTGTGTGAAAAGATTAATCATTCTTTTATTTGTAATTATGGTCTTTCACCTACTTTCGTTCATTGTTTATATTTAATTTAATCCTTAGATGCTAGCTTCTATAAATACCGAATTGTACATTAATTCAAGATTCAAGATTCTAGTTTCTAGGTTTTATCCAGGACAGTCTATGTCTGTCGGACGTGCTGTTCTGTGTATATGATACTTAATATTTGCCGTATTAAACTGTTTAAATGATAATTCCAGTGTATACTTATTATCGAAGATTGTGACTTCTGCATTAGTTCGATGCGCACCAATATCCAAGTCATTCAAGATCTTCTTGTTAGTAACACATATTTAAGTTTTATTTAAATGAGACAAAGACCGTGGCCTTATGAGGGTCCACAGCCTTTGTGTGTGTATCACATATTGTTTGACAAAGTACTGTATAACTTTCATCAAATTGAACGATCATTTAGGTGCTTAGAACTTTATGACCTCTGCTGGTTTTTGATAATATATAATATTGACGTTCCAAGTCTCTATAAACTCCTGTTAAGGCACGAACTGGCTATGATCTAATTAAACATGTCATTAATTCAATTTGCGGGCTGTACATGATCTGTGTGCAACACTCGGCAGAACTTCAAATGGAATGTACTAGTGGTCAGTGCATCATACCATGACCTGTTAATGACTTCAAAGGAAATACGCAGTGCAATTACGGGTGCCATAATCTGATAAATAATCAATACCATATACGATCACTCTTAACCATTTTCCCTAATTGCCGTACGCTATATAAGCAGGATTTTGCTGACAGTTCGGGAGAGCAGAGAGCAGACGATTAAAGACGAATGGAAAAGAAGAGACAGGCAGAGACCGGCGTATAGACTCACCCGAGTTCAGCCGCTGCCATGGCAAAGGGACAGAATGGTGGATTTAATATAGTTATATGTGTTACTGTCGTAGTTCCCGTATTATTGTTGTATTTATGTAACTGTATCTGTTTTATATACCTGATGTAAATAAATCCTATATTTACTAAACTGATCTTGGTTATCACTAAGATAGTGTTACACATGCTTTGCCATTATTTTCGTAAAAAGTGGTTCAATTTCTAAGAAATCTACTTGTCCGTAACAGGTCATTTTTTAAGGTTTTGCAACTGCTGGGGCAAGATAGGGGTGGGCGGGAGTACTTTGGCCTTACAAAATGACCTGGTCCGTGATTGTTTATGTTATAAGGTTACACAACTAGGTACGCTGTTTTCCTACAATTATGAGCAATAGTCCAGGAAGTTACCATCGCGTATGTGTCAAAATCGAACCAATCCGAGATCTTTGAGGTATAAACAGATTTTGATAGATAGTGTAAGTTTCATATGTATTTCATATGGCAAATTTCCATAGTTGTCTTAGACAATTAGGATAAAATATTTCAGTCATATTGCTGATTGTTGTCGCAGAACCTCATGATTGATTGGGAATTTGTTTGCAACAATATGATACCATCGACAAAATAGGACTACCCAAAAAATACCAGAGCAACGAACATATTTGGGAACTTTTTTCATGTTTATTACACCAATGTACTAGAAGCATAATTTATTCCGTTTTGATGGAATCAATTCATTTTCATCCGAATTCATAATCATTTAAATTTGCGATCTTTGTCGACTCCAACAATAATGGAGCTTCAAAATACCGAGCAGTGGAAAGCGAGAATCTTGTTCAGGTTGGAATCATCGTGCAGGTTGGGTTAAACAGTATTTGGGTATACGTCATCGTGTAATGACATGCTGTAGTTTTCAGTGCCGAACGTAGCGGTGAGTGAATTTTTCTTCTATCGTTCTTATTGCATTATTATTAAATTGTCAATAAATGTCTCTCAGTACTAAGCCACCAAATCAATATTATCATCAATCTAATCATTCTGTTCCATCGGTCATCTTTTGAACATAGTTTGGTGAGAAATCAAGTTTGTGCAAGTAACATAAACATGACAATGTCGACTGATGTTAATGCTTCCTATGATATGATATACTTTAATAAACGTAACATCTGTACAAGGGGATGGTTATGATAGTAATGTCGCATTGGTTACAGAACTCGTACTATCTGTCCGTGCAGTTTGGTTTTGTTAGGTGGGTTTTGGGTAAGACGGGGTGGTGGGGGAGGGGGGCTATTCTCCACAGAATTCATTCAGTTATTGGAATTTCGATTCCAAAGCTTACTATTCGTAGATCAAAGTGGTATTTGTTTAGTAGAAATAGACGGCAAGATGGCGGCTCTTCCGGATGTCACATAGAAGTTTACAACTTTAATGCCAATACTGTGAGATGTTTCCAGAACGATAAAGCAAGAGCAATAACTAACTAACGTCAGAATAAAGAATAACATTTTATTCACATCATAATTTAATTAGCAGCGGTGGTAGCTGTGTTTGTCATGGCAGGTTGGTATTTGTAATCCAAAGTATAGACAGTTTTTCTGATACATTCTGCAGCTTCCAAGGGATCATGGAATTGAGCCAAAGCCTGGAATCCACTTTCTCTATGAGTTCCTTGGTTGTCCTTGATCATTTTTACGATTTCATCCTGGAAGACAAGGTATACATTGTAGATAAATTAACCAGCATGTAAATACAAATTTCGAACGAAGGAATGGCACAAAATCTAACTCTACTGTCAGGAACAACAATTTTGTGGGGAACCGAATTGTTTAAAAAAAAAAAACAGATAAAATCTACTGGGCGTGGTTAGTTTAACACAGCTACTAGATTTAATCATAAAAGTTATAAGCAAGTCAATTAATTAGTTATCACTTTTTTTGTATGTTGTATTCTGTAATATTAGATAGTTAAATGTGACTTTCTGTGTTGGCATTTTCGTCAATTTAGGAGGCCCTATTTACGGAAAAGGTTAAAACCTGTACAAAATCCTCTCGTTCGCCTTTCCTCCCGTTAAATCAACATGTTCCCTTGTTAGGACGATATTCACATTAAAATCCACTGAAGTTAGATATCTATGCAGGCGTATATACATTGTACATATTTAATATAATCTTACTTCAATCTGGTTTCTCTTGGCTTTATCAGCGACAACGGCATCCCATGCATTAGGGGCGTCTACCAAGTAACAATGACGGCTGTCGCGCACCAAAAACAAGTTCTGAAATATTACATAATGTTTTTTTTATATGTTGTATTCAAAATATTCTGAAATATAACTTATTAATGAATGTCATCTATTGGTAGCTCTCTTTATCTGATTTTGGTGCTGACAGTTTGTGAAGTCTCACTTAAACAATGGTCGGCAATTCAAATATGTATTCAAATCAAAAACAAAAAGAAAAATTTCCAAAAGATCATTCATATCTATCTACTATATCTTGTAGACATTGTAACATGTCTGTATTTGATATTATTTTACTGTATACTTACGTGTCGGCTGTGATATTCAAAGGTGTAACCGTCATGTCTATCACTGTGTAGTCCATTCCAGAATGGGAAATGGAATTGGGCCTGCAATTACAAAACAAACAAATTAATAATACCTTTTTTTCAATTGAAGTGACTTTGTTTAATTTCCGTATAAACTAGTATTTATCAAACATGAGCCGTGTTAATTGACCAATTTTAAAATGTTAGTTCTATGCGTAGTAATAAAAGGAAAATGTTTAAAATTAAATTACTTACACAGGTAAGGGCAAGAAGTGTACAGGCAATAAGAACTCTCATGATGTCTCTGCGTATGACTAAAAAGTGAAGAATCTATTGACAAAGACTGCTTTATAAACCCTGGCAATTCTGATAAGAGCGTACTAGTGGACCACCATATGTTGTCCATCCCGAAAGTTTTGTTATCATTGGGAAATAAAGAATGATAAAATCCCTATCAGTGACGATTTGATTTTTCGATTTTTGTGCCGAATAGATTGTCCGGTATATTGAAGAGCAATTGGTGACTTAATAGCCGGATCTATATCATTGGTTTTTTTTTCTTTTCTCTAGCCCAAACTGGTCGCTATTGTAATGCCTCGATTCGGATATCAATTAAAACAAGCGGTTGTCATGAAATAAACACCCAGTATCATCGCATTGTGGGAAATAGGTCTTCATTATTTTTTTTTTACAAAATATAAAAATAAAAAAAAAACTGTTTTTCGTCACCAAATTTGCTTCTGTTGCCCTCGCTATGATCCGTCACTGGTCTTCCCCAGGAAAAATTTGAAAATTGGACGGCCACAAACGCGTTTTCCAGCCCAAAAAATCATTCTCTAGCGAACTCTGCACAATGAACATGTTTATTACACCAATGTCCCGGAAGGATCACTCAATTTGTTTCGATTGGTTCTATTCATTTCTATCTGAATTCATACTCATTTGAATTTGCGATCTTTGTCGATTCAAGCAAAAATGGAGCTTCGTATTACCGAGCAATGTGTAACCCGGGTCCCTCAGCTGCAGCACTAGGGGATGAGGTGCGAGGGACGGATTAATTAAATAACAGATTCTTGTGGAGTTGACAGACTTGACAGACAGTATAAATATAAACACCAGAATACGTAAATATGATGAATTTGAAGTTTAATGTCAAGTTGTCCGAAGACAGAACAGAACTGTAAAAGTTCTAAATACAATACAATAATACACAAGCTTAATATGTAACATAGTACAATATAATACAATTAACATATTTATTATCCCATAAATAACAGTATCAATAGTTAACCAGAGACTATATATCCCATTAGGTTACAAAGACGACTACTAGTACTTCACCATGGATTTTTTTAATAATAGGCCATACACAAGTCCCTGGACTGATTAATGTGGCCATTTAATCTCAACCAAAGGAGTGAACAACATTCATACCAATGCACAGGACTAAGGCACTAAGAGGTTAATGTTAACACGCTGAATTGTCAAAATTGCAAAAGTAGGTAATAAGGGGTAACTATGGGCAGGCAGGCCCGGCGGAGTGGGAGGGGATGGGGGCAATAATTTGGCCGCAAGTACCCTGTTCTCCAGCTTATTGCACGCAAGTAACTATTCAGTAAGATACAGTTACGTAACTGGAATGGACCTGATTTGAACATGGAAGTGAGACTTCTAGAAGTAAAACGTAGACTTCTAGAAGTAAAACGTAGACTTTTAGAAGAAAAACCCGTGCTATGCTTTATACTGATCCTTGGGTTAAGAGTCCCCCAGTTGCGAGGATCGCGATTAGTTAACTTTACTGAGCAGTTGAATATTTCATTCCATCTCATTTCCGTTGTATCTATGACAGATTGGTTAATTAAAACACGACGGGATAGAGTTTTTTTTCTAACATTTTATTGCAGGGGCTAAAGCTCTACAATAGAAGGTCTCATGCGTACCAAAGTAATCCTCAACACATGGTTTAATTTTTACTTCATAAATCGGACAAAAATTGTCGCCTCTGGGAGGTCCACAAACTTCATTCATTTGGCATTACTCTAGAACGGAAGGTCCGATGCGCACCAAACTTGAACTCACCCAACACTCGTTTTAAGTTTTCATCGAACTCGGATAAAAATTGTTACACCCTTGGTATTACATACTTTTAATTATGGTCTAACGGTGATATATTTGAATGATTTTGAAAATAAGATGATTTTTCGTACAACCACGGTCCATAATCCAGAAAGTTACGGCCCGATAAATCGTTACCTCCCAGTCGTATCATGCTCATACGTGTGTAGATTTGTCTGAAAAATATAAAATTGCCGATTGCCAATGCGATATTTACACCATGGACCGTATTTCAGGATCCATGGTAACACCCGGAAGTTAGAGAATGAGGGTTAGGGTATGGTTTATTAAAAACTTTCATTTTTATTTGAGTTTTCTTGATGAATTTGACAGATTAAGATCTTCTTATTCGAATATATATATCCCCACGACAAAAAAAATGGTGAAATGATCCATGTTACCAGTTAACCCGGATGGAGTCAGCGTTGTAAGAAAATGCTTTAAAGGCATTTCTTCATCCCCATCGTCAAAAATATAGTTTCAGAAATGAGTAAATAGCAGAAAATATAGCAGGCGAAACAAATGACATGGACCAATTTGCGTTCGGGTGATTGTTCAGACTGTAGTTGCGATATTATATGCTTTTACATTATTTACGTAAAGGGGAGCGGCCATTTGAACTTTAAATTTGTACTCAGTCGTAATGGTGTAATTAATGTGATGTATTTAAACGGTTTTTACAATCAGTAATAATTGTGACCTCTAGGGTGCCCTCAAGCTAGAAATGTGAGCTTTCGTACAATCAGGGGCCATAATCCAAGAAGTTACGGTTATAAACATACATTGTAAGTTTCATCAAAATCAGATAACAACTGTGACATCTAGAGTGTCCACAACCTTGGTAATATTATGTATATATTTGTCCAGTTCAACATCACAGAAAATCACCATCGACTGCAGTGCTTTCGTGGTATGGGATTAAAATTTCACAAGCCAGAAATCCCTTAGAAAGCGTCTCCGACGATCTAGACCCTGGGAGCTTCCGGGGACTAGGCGGCCCCTGGACTCTCGCCTAAAGTCCTAGGACAGGAATAACATTTATCTAATCACCTGTAACAATATTGCAATACAATGTCAACAAACATATTGGAGCATGTACATGTATACAAAGCAATTAAAAAATAAAACCAAGTTCAAGAATTCCAACACAGTGACTGCTCAGATCATAATAACATGATTTGAGTACAAAGATTTAAGGCAACTGACCCGAATATGATTTAAAACAACACTTACATATTTGCATGATAGAAGAAATTGAATAACAAGTAATTGTCAAAGGCCTTATCGACACAATGTAAACAAGCCAACAGTGAGACTGATGTCCCAAAATAAATAGATGACACATTAATTAATCGCACATTTATTTTTTTCAAAAGTATCAAGCAATCAAACTGATTATCAACTATACACCAAGTTTCATCACTCTCTATCAGATAGAATCAAAGTTATCTGGTCCCAAAGCATCGACCAATAAAATTGCTTTAGCTCGAAATGTTAATCATTGAACTCAGCCAAGACATTTACTTAATGAACATCAACATCAAGTTTAAACATTCTCCCTCAATTAAAAGCAGAGTTGTTATGTTCCAAAGTCTTGACCAATCAAATTGCTTATCGATCCTTAGCCTAAGCAGAAAATTCTCATCATCAAATTTAGTCAAGGTAATGATATAATGAATCTATACTCAGAGTTTCGTCACTCTCACTTAATTAAAACCAAAGTTATTGGCCCTAAAGCATCAACCAATCAGATTGCTTATCTCTGCTTACCGTAAGCAGACAATGTTTATCATCGAACTCCATCAAGACATTCACCTAATAAACGCCTACACCAAGTTTGAACATTCTACCTCAACTAAATGGAGAGTTATTGTGTTCCAAAGTCTCGATCAATAAACACCTACACCAAGTTTGAATATTCTAGCTCAATTAGAAGGAGTTATATCTTGTACAGGTTTGAATCATCGTGCAGATTGGGTCAAACTGCTTTTAGTGATAAAGTCATTGTGTAATGACATGCTGTAGTTTTCAGTGCCGAACGTAGCGGTGGGTGAATTTTTCTTCTATCGTTCTTATTGCATTATTATATATTAAATTGTCAATAAATGTGTCTCAGTACTAAGCCACCAAATCAATAGTATCATCAATCTAATCATTCTGTTCCATCGGTCATCTTTTGAACATAGTTTGGTGAAAAATTAGGTTTGTGCAAGTAACATAAACATGACAATATCGACTGATGTTAATGATTACTATGCTGGGAATATACTTTATTAAACGTAACATTCTGATAGTAATGTCGTACTGGTTACAGAACTTGTACTATTTGTACGTGCGGTTTGGTTTTGCTAGGTCGGTTTTGGGTGAGACTGAAAGGGGTGGGAATGGGAGCTGAGAAAGAAAGACATAGGAAGGAAATAATATTTCCGCATATTTCGTCTTAGTATATTTTTTTTTAAAAAAAGCCAAAATAATTCCGCAGAGCATTACACAGAATTCATTCAGTTATTGGAATTTCGATTCCAAAGCTTACTATTCGTTTATCAAAGTGGTATTTTTTTAGTAGAAATAGATGGCAAGATGGCGGCTCTTCCGGATGTCACATAGAAGTTTACAACTTTGATGCCAATACTGTGAGATGTTTCCAGAACGATAAAGCAAGAGCAATAACTAACTAATGGCAGAATAAATAAATAACATTTTATTAATATCATAATTTAATTAGCCGTGGTAGCTGTGGCTGTCATGGCAGGTTGGTATTTGTAATTTATATTATGATTTAATTGGTAGCTTGGTATTTGTAATCCAAAGTATAGACAGTTTTTCTTATACATTCTGCAGCTTCCAAGGGATCATGGAATTGAGACAAGGCCTGGAATCCACTTTCTTTATGAGTTCCTTGGTGGTCGTTGATCATTTTTACGATTTCATCCTGGAAGACAAGTTATACATTGTAGATAAATTAACCAGCATGTAAATACAAATCTTGAAAGAGGGAATTACACAAAATGTAAATGAACTGTGAAGAACAACATTTGTGTGAGGAATTGAATTGTTGATGAAGGATAAACGTGTGAACCAAGATTACTTATGTACCTTGTTGTTTAAATAAAAAACAGTTATAATCTACTGGGCGTGGTCAGTTAAACACAGCTACAAGATTTAATCATAAAAGTTATAAGCAAGTCAATTAATTGGTTATCACTTTCTTTGTATGTTGTATT